GTAAGGCACATGAAAATGCAAGGTGCCACATTCAAGCCGAATGGAAGGCAACGAGAGCAGTAACCTTGAAGCCCCACAACAAAATCGAGCCACCCCCTGAACACCGGATGAATCGGAATGTGCTAATACTCGTCCCGAAGGTCCAGGGACATCATCCAAGCGCCTGACTCCAAGAGGAGAAGGACCTGGGACAGAGTAGTCATCCGAAAGGGGGGACAATATCCCATAGGTTCAGATGGAACAAGTCCAGAATGAACCTGAGGTCTGCTCAGTCCCGTTCGGAACCAGAAACAGGCGGGAAACCCACCGGAGGGATGAGGTCGTTTCGACCCCATCCAACCGAACCCACTCCAAGATGATCCAACAGAGCACAGGAGAGGAGGCCTGCCCCACCAGCCCCCCAAACCTCCCAAAGGAGGAGAGGCCACCCAATGCCACCACAGGCCGCACGAAATGACCCGAAAGGGCCCACAAATCGTGGAACCAGGGGTGAGCAAACAGCGCGACCCTCCCCCTCATCGCCCCGTCAATGGGACGCTTCCGAAGGATGGCCTACCATGACGGGAGGAACCTCAAGCCCTGGCACGACCCTTCTGAGAAGACCCCCCCCTCCCCTCCTCCCCCACAGGCCCTCCGGAGAACTACCAAGTCCAACATGGGATGATAACTGGAAGAAGCGACCTGCAGAATATGCACCACCGCAAACTGCAAACAGCAAAGGACAAAAAGGCAAAGAAAACCTGAGACCCCTGGGCCCAAGCAGATTCCAGGGAGGTAACCAGCACTGCCTGCCGACTCGCAAGACGGGAAACAAAAACAGCGACACTGCATCCTGCAGGATTGGCACAAACGACTTCAAAAAAGCAGATGATGCACACACTGTCAAGATCAACACAAGACCAAGGATCGGCCCGAAGCGCCTCCACATCCTCCTCAAGCCAGTCCGAGGACAGCTCGAAAAGGGAAAAAATGCAAGACCGACGCCATCAGGCCCTTAGCGCACACGTCCTCAGCGACCAGTGCAGCCAAAAAGGTGGGAACCTACACGTAAAGCTGCAAAATGCCAACATCCTGAGGATGGGGCTAGGGGAAACAAGGGGAAGGGGTTGCACAGGCAGCGACACGGTGACGTATGTCATGTCATGCTTGTTTGCTCGTTTTCATTTGTATATATGTTTCATTTGTGGAGTTCTGTTCACTAGTTCGGCTTTCAGCAGCAATTTCTTAACCAGAATAGCAGTTTGTTTTAGGGCTCCTACCTTTCTGGGTGCCTGACTCAGTCAATGGCAGACATAGAATGCTTCCAACTACAAGGGCGTTTCTATAAGTCACTGCTCCTCGTGCCTCTCCGAGGAAGCTAGGTTCTGGCGCATGGTCTGCAGTAGGCCTAGAACTCCATGTGCACTGACTGATGCCAGGTTCTAATACATTCATATGAGCCCAGTTAGCTCCTGGGAGTGAAAGGGGCTCCCCTCAGAAAAAATCTTTTAAAAGACAGGAGTGCCTTTTGGTCATCAATAAGGAGCTTAACCATGAAAAGAGAGAGATGTCCCAATGTTTGGAAAAATTCTCAAATAAGGAGAGAGAAAAAATAAAAAAAATAAAAACCTAATCAGCACAAACTTAATGTATTCTACATGAAGCCCTAGGAACTGCCAGGAAAATTTGTTTTTCCTTTTTTCTACCTTAGATAAAATTACATACATACATACATACACACACAATAATATATATATATATATATATATATATATATATATATATATATATATATACATACACACACACACACATACACACACACACACACACACACACACACACACACACACACATATATACATATACATACAAAAAGAATAGGGGTGGTAAACGAAAATATCAGTGTTCAGTGAAGATCCACAAGATCTTCTCTGTGTACTCTCTATTTTTTTTCTCCGAGGCTATGGGTCCCTACAATTGGACCTGAGGTGGTACCCATATATATATATATATATATATATATATATATATATATATATATATATATATATATATATATATATATATATATATATATATATATATATATATATAAATATATACAGAACATTATAAATAATAAATAATTGCTGGGAAAATAATGGGACTTGAGAGAATGGTCTTTTACATAACATTCAAACACTGACTAGCACGTAAATCTAACAAACAAGCAAAAAAACGCATTATACAAAGAAAAGGTATTTGTTTTACCTGATTTGTCTCCTGGGAGTTTTGAGAGGAGAAAAAAAAATGGCTGATAAATTCAAAGATTGCCAAAATAACAAAAGAAGTTGTCCAAAAACAAAAACTTCTTTTTGAATTATTAACCTCATTCAACTGCTAATAGCAGTGATCTATGTTCTGCTCATTTTATTAACAATACAGTATAGAGCAAACAAAAACAAAAATATTATATATATATATATATATATATATATATATATATATATATATATATATATATATATATATATATATATATATATATATATATGTATTGCAACCCGTTCTCGCAAATTTAATAAGTCAATATTGACTTATTAGTTGCGTGCATAGGTGACATACTTAACATAATAGTTTCCCTTGAAAAGCTTCATAGAAAACACCGACCTTACCTAACCTACTTAGTATGTTAAAATAAGCATCTTATAGCTTCGTAATTACAATTGTTACTTAACCTATTATAGGCATAGGTTAGGTAATAGTTGTAATTACGAAGCAATAAGATGCTTATCTTAACATACTAAGTAGGTTAGGTAAGGTTGGTGTTTTCTATGAAGCTTTTCAAGGGAAACTATTATGTTAAGTATGTCACCTATGCACATATTTAATAAGTCAATATTGACTTATTAAATTTGCGAGAACGGGTTGCAACTATATATATATATATATATATATATATATATAGACGAAAAAACATTAATTCATGAAAACTTGGCTTATTAGGCAAATCGGGCCTTGAATAGTAGGCTGAGAAGTGCGTTCTGGCTATTAGGTACGACATATATATATATATATATATATATATATATATATATATATATATATATATATATATATATAATGTATATATATAATTTTTTTTTTTTTTATTGTTGAATATGACCGAAAAGATAAGATTAATAATTCTAACACGAATTTTCTCAAAAAATTTTTTGTTTCTTTTCGCTGTCGATGGTAATTGAAAAATCAATTCTCCAAAATTCATTTTTATTTCTAGTCTGACTCGACGTCTGAACGTGTTTCGTAATAACTTATTACATTCAAAGACTTTAGTTTACACACACAACTGTAACCTGTAAACAGGCATAATACATCCATACTTATACTCGCATTTGGGTGATGTGATATGGTACAAAAGTTTTGGATGAGGTGATTGACATTTACACACAATAGAATACAAACCAATGGGTATAAAATCATAAAAATGGAAGTAACTGCAGAAGGCCTATTGGCCCATGATGGTTCCTCTTGATGCTTTTATATTGGTTCAGAGTCCTGAAGTGGGTAGAATATAGTTGTGCCTTAATTGGCTGTTGATTGCTGGTGTTGACGTTTTGATTTCTAGTGCCTCGCAGATGTCAAGCCTCCTGCTATCGCTGTATCTATCGATGATTTCTGTGTTGTTTGTTAAAATTTCTCTGGTGATGGTCTGGTTGTGAGAAGAGATTATATGTTCCTCGATGGAGCCCTGTTGTTTATGCACTGTTAATCACCTGGAAAGAGACGTTGTTGTCTTGCCTATATACTGAGTTCTTTGGGGCTTACAGTCCCCAAGAGGGCATTTGAAGGCATAGACAACATTGGTTTCCTTCAAGGCGCAAGGAAACCAATGTCGCCTATGTCTTCAAATGCCCACTTGGGGACTGTAAGCCCCAAAGAACTCAGTATATAGGCAAGACAACAACGCCTCTTTCCAGGCGATTAACAATGCATAAACAAAAGGGCTCCATCGAAGAACATATAATCTCTTCTCAAAACCAGACCATCACCAGAGAAATTTTAACAAAACACAGAAATCATCGATAGATACAGTGATAGCAGGAGGCTCAACATCTGCGAGGCACTACACATCAAAAAGTCAACACCAGCAATCAACAGCCAATTAATGCACAACTATATTCAACACACTTCAAGACTCCAAACCAATATAGAAGCATCAAGACGAACCATCATGGGCCAATAGGCCTTCTGCGGTTACTTCCATTCTTATATTTTTATACCCGTTGGTTCGTGTTCTATCATGTGTAAATGTCAATCACCTCACCCAAAACTTTTGTACCATATTACCTCACCCAAATGCGAGAATAAGTATGGATGTATTATGACTGTTTACTGGTTACAGTTGTGTGTGTAAACTAAAGTCTTTGAAAATGTAATAAGTTATTACGAAACGCATTCAGGCGTTGCGTCAGACTAGAAATAAAAATTAATTTTGGAGAATTGATTTTTCAATTACCATTGACAGTGAAAAGAAACACAAGAAATATTGAGAAAATTCATTTTAGAATTATTAATCTTACCTTTTCAGTCATATTCAAGAACATATGTTTACAAAAAAGACTAATACCAAAATATACTAATTAATTAATATTATATGTATGTATATATATATATATATATATATATATATATATATATATATATATATATATATATATATATATATATATATATATATTTTTTTTTTTCATAATTTATGGGTTCTAATAAGTTCATTTCCTCCCACACAAACATGAAAGAAAAATATTTATACCAAATTAACCATAAAATTGATTTGATCTCTTAAATATATAATTGAATTAAAAATATATATAGAATATGACCTTATTAAATATACACATGTGTACACCTTCAGATCTGCTACCCAGAAAAAAAGGGAATGCACAAACAGAATACACAAAATGGGAATATATATATATATTATATACTATATATATATATACTGTGTATATATATTTTTCATCATGATGATTCTAGCATCTACAAAGATAGGGAACTCTCACATTTCACAAAAATGAATTTTCTTTTTTTTTTTTTAATTCTCCAAAGATTTATTTTCTTTAGACGAGAATGCAGGTCTGCTCAACAACAAAGGCTTTATAAAGGGAGAAGAAATGCTTGCTTTTAATACTGCAGTTAGCTGCAGTACAATTAACAGTTAATTCTCAACAAGGTTCTGGTAGTTATGCATAAGGATTACATTTGCGCAACTTTTAGTTTGACATTGAAAGGGATTTTTTTTTTTTTTTAATTTCCAACAATATAGTTAAGTGAAAATGTGTTAAAGAGTCAGTTTACATACGTAATTTAAATTACACACAATGCCAGTTTTAAAAATAATAAATAGTGCAAACAAATGGTGCAGGATTTATAAATACAGTACTGTACTGTAATACCAAATGAATAAAGGTACGGTACTGTAATAACAAATGAATGCAATACAGCTTAGTAATTTAAACCAGAATATGATAAAACAAGTAATTAAAAAATCAAAATGAAGAAAAAATTTAAAACCATAATAAACAATATTGAGATCAAGATATATCAGAAAATAAATATTATATTAAACTAAATGAAATTTAAATATCAACATAAAAGTGATAAGTGCCAAAATTAAAAGGAGTTTAAATTATGCTGCATATATTGGCATGGACCTCTTGTATCAACTGCATATCTGAGGACTCACTGTGTTAGATCAAATCTCTTTCCTCCCCAACTGTATTCATTGCTTGTAAGAGATTACAATAAAAAATGAATACTGTATATATAGTTATCTATAAATAAATAAGTTTACCATTCAAATTATAATGTCAGTTTTGTATTATAATGAATATATCAATAAGCCTGAGCCCTAGATATTCAAAGACATTATTCCTTGAATTTGTTGGGAGCTTTTTCAGGCATCTTCTGAAAGTGAAACAAAGGGTATATGTAACTTACGAAGGAGGTGAAGGAAGAGGAACCTGGTGGATCTTCCAGGTGGCAACAGACATAGAATGCTCATCAGCAGCATAACAACGCCATAAACACTGTATCAATGTGGCTGCGGGTTGCCGTCGACGGATCATGTGCTTCTGACGCTGCTGCTGCTGCACCTTCAAGGCAAACCCCGAGCCTAGAATACCCTGCACAAGTGATAAAATAATGTTAATGCCTGTATCTCCACATGTGCTCTTAAACTATAATGCCCATCTGTGCCATGTTTTCAGTGGCAGTTCTAACAAGGCAATTTTATGAGGACTAGAAAGGGGGATTTAAAAATGTTTGGTTCCCACAGTCAGGAACAGGAAGCATGTTAAGCTTATCAAGGTACCCCTTGGGCCAAGTACTGGCCTTTTCCAGGATGCAATCCAGAACAGTTGCATAACCCCAAGGAACTTATTAATTATTGGGTGAACAAAGTCATCAGGTGAAAGTAAATGTTACCCAAATACTTGTCCTACCATGAGAAGCAAACCTAGGAACTATCTGATGTCACCCAATTGCATTTACCACTGCCTCATGCAGGCTTATAAAATATAAAAATCTATGCTGGATTTCTAGCTTTGCCTGTTGATGGCTCCTTAACCCTTAAAGTGCGCATCACTTCATATGAAGTGTAAATCGTTTTACCAGTCAACTGCGCTTCACTTCATATGAAGTGTATGGGTACCGCGCACGATTTGAATGGCCCGCGGTGTAGCTGGGGGTCCCATACGCTGCCCAGGGGCTCTAGTAAACAGCGGCCATTTTGAAAAAAAATCCAGCTCACGATTCGATGGCATGGGAGGCCTCAGTTTAGCGAGAGTCACCATGGCGAGCGCACGGTCAAACGCCTCACGGGCACGCACCACTCAGTCCCTCACCCCAGAGCAAATAGCCCACGAATTATTCTCTGAAGGTGAAGAAAGTGTGTTTGACGATTCAGACAACGATGAGGATTATACACAGTTGTCGGGTGATAGTAGCAGCAGCAGTGAAAGTGAGAATGACCGCCATGCCATGGCGAGGCCTATACGCTCTCCCATGCCTCCTCGCCCATTTTCTACCCCAATTCTACCACGACCTCACAGTTCCTGTGGATATTTTCTGTTTGAGGGTGACGAGTCAGAGGGAGGTGACTCCTTTTCTGGGTTTAGTGACTCAGATCAAAGTTTTATTGAGCCTGTGGCTGGTACCAGTGGTGTAACTGGGCGAGAAATTGTCGCGTCAGCAGCATCTCGCCCGGCCAAGCGCCACCGCATGGCACCACATGAGGGACCAAGACCCTCGTGTTCACGTGCACCCACCTCACGTGCACCCACCTCACGTGCACGTAGCCGCCGTGCTTCTCGCAGACGGTATTCAGCTCCTGGTCGCCGGTATGCATCGCTTCCTCGCCGTCTTTCCTCTGCATCTCGCAGGACGCCTGGTGTACTTGAGTGGAGTGATGGTGACGATTTTATTCCTAATATTCCTCACTTTGACGATAAAGATGTAGGGATTACAAACCTTTTCCCTAATCAAGGTTAGGACATGGCTGAGATGGAATATTTTACAGCATTCTATGATGAACCACTCATGGAATACATTGTACACCAAACGAACCTGCATGCTGCTTACCTGATTGAGAGGGAAATCACAGAATTTTCATGACTGCAGCGTTGGAAAAATACCACAGTGGCGGAAATGTATGTGTTTTTGGCACTCTGTTTGTTGATGAAGCACTGTCACAAACATGCAATAAATGACTATTGGAGCAAGGACAAGACAATACCAACACCTTTATTCGGGAAATATATGTCACGAGACAGGTTTCAGATACTCCTCAGGTGTCTACATTTTGGAAGTGTTCAGGACCGAACACCTGATGATAGACTGTGGCGAGTGAGGCACTACATGAACGATGTTATTGGAAAATTCAGAGATTTTTACGTACCAGCACAGAAGCTGGTGGTTGATGAATCTCTCATACTTTTCAAGGGACGTGTTCCATTCAAACAGTACATTCCCTCAAAACGAAACCGATTTGGCCTGAAATTTTTTGTTCTTTGTGATTGTGAGACAGGATACGTGTTACACATGATTCTGTACTCGGCTAGTGATGTAGACATTCCCGGTAACGACGAACATGGATTCTCGGGGAGTGTAGTGAAGACCATCATGGCTCCGTGGATGAACAAGGGACACATTTTATACACAGATAATTACTATACAAGTCCCTTGCTAGCTCGGTTCTTGCTAGAAAATAGAACCGGATTGGTTGGTACAGTAAAGCCACAACGAAGGGAAATGCCTGTGTTTGACAACGACATTGCAGTTGGTGAGTGTCAGAGAAGGAAAAGTGATAACATTCTGTCAGTTCGGTGGAAAGACAAAAGAGAGGTGAACTTGTTGACAACAATTCATGATGGAACAATGGTGAACAGTGGGAAAGTGAGCCATAAAACAAACGCACCACTATATAAGCCAGACTGTGTTTTAGACTATAATATCAACATGCGGTTGATTGATAAATCAGACATGATGATTGGCACTGCAGAGTGTGTGCGGAAGACATGTAGGTGGACGAAAAAAGTGTTCTTCCATCTTGTGGACATGAGCATGCTGAACTGTTTCAACATGTACCTTGTGAGAACTGGACGTAAGCCCACTTTCCGTGACTTTGTATTTGATGCTGCAATACAGTTATTAGGAAAGTTTGCAAAAGATGTCCCAGGTATTCAGCGGCCCATCATAAACCCACTGTTGCAGCATGCTGGTACTCCACGCCTCGCTCACACTGAAGGCTTCCTAGCACACAAACTTAAGTATTTGCCACCTGGTGTGAAGCGTGCAATAGCCCAACGTGATTGCTTGGTGTGTAAAACAACGACACGTAGAGACAAGAAACGGAAGCTTGTGCAAACATGGTGTGAAACGTGTGGTATCCCATTATGTGCTGTCGACTGCTTCAATGACTACCACAGTCTAGAAATCTTCTAAGTGTGCTTCAAAGTGTGTATAGCGTGTGCGAGTGTGTAAATATGTAAACATATAAGCAGATAGCGTGTGTGTAAATATATACAAATATAAGCAGAACATACAATATAATAGACTGTAATGACATATTATATTGCCGTAATTGAAAACATTTGTGTGCGCCTGTGTATACTCAAATATGCAACAATTATTGATACAAAATATGTTCAAACAGTATTTGAAACACAATTAGTGAAAAAAAATTAGATAAAATGCGCTTAGACATTGTAAATAAATAGCGCGAAAATATATTTGTGGCAACTCTGGCTGTTTGAGGACCGCGCGCAACATCTCCCGGGCGTGTACTGCATGAGCGAACATGCAGATTGTGACGTCATCACCGAGCTTCTCGGCTCTATTGCAACAAAAGTAAGTACAATATAATTTTTTTTTTATTTTTCCCGTGATCAGTGAACAGAACTTAACAGATTAGCAAAAAATTAATGACATGCGCCTGTGTGGATAGCAGGATATTAGACCCCGAGCATGTTAAGGGTTAAAGCTATCTCACCACAAAGACTTACCAGGGTGCACAGTAGAGCAGCAGCCAGCAATCCCTATAAAAGTAGGACCAATGCTGCATCAATCTACAAAAAGCTACACAAGCCTGGGAACATTCACCACATATTGTGCTGCCAGGACCCTAATTAGAATGCCAAAACCTGAAAGACCAGATCTCTGACCACATATATGTTAGAAAAGAATGCAAAAAGAGCCACAAACTTGCAAACACCATGTACCCATGGGTAGAATGCAGGCTGGTTCAACTTAATGACCTGAGAGAAAGATGTCATGGAACAAGGGACGATGAACACCAGATCAACAACGCTTTATCTGGAATGTCCTGAGTGGCATGTAAATATCAGTGAACAGCTGCAACCAAACAAAATAGGTGATGTTATCTTGAGATGATTTCGGAACTTAATGTCCCCTGCGGCCCAAGTCTTCAACCAGGCCTCCTGTTTGTTACACACCCCCAGGAAGCAGCCCGTAGCAGCTGTCTAACTCCCAGGTACCTATTTACTGCTAGGTAACAAGAGAATCAGGGTGAAAGAAACTCGGCTCACTTGTTTCCGCCTCCACCGGGAATCGAAACCGGAACCTCAGGACTACGAATCCGAAGCGCTGTGCACTCAGCTGTCAGGCCCCTGCCTGTGATGCATGCACAGTAAATCTAACAAAGAATTAATAATCAACAGCACCCTCTGGCAACCAGCTGTCTCATTCTTAGCCAGAGAGGAAGGAGATGGCTGCAAATGAAACAAAACATCCGCTCAGACGTTTTGACTTAACCCCCAACAAATGTCCAACGAGGCACAAGATATTGAACATATAGATGAATCAGAGATATATGCAACACACACACAGTCCCACATTAGAGGTTGCTCTGAAAACTGGAACATACTGGAGTAGTGACAAGGAGGCTTCTAGCATGGATGAAAAACTTTCTAATCGACAGAGAAATGAGGGCAGTAATAATAGGCGATGTACCGGACTGGAGAAATGTCATGAATGGAGTACCACAGAGTTCAGTTATTACAGTTGTAATGTTCATTGTCTACATAAAGGAGGGAGGGCTGGTCCACAATAAACCCTCCAAAAACTGCAGAGAGTTTGTTGGGTCCCAAAGAATAGACCAAACAGGAACACTGGGCACATTTGCTGCTTACCAAATATTACAAACACCAAAACATCCAAGGGCAAATATGGCTGTTAAGAGAGCACGCAGTGTGCCATATAAAAAGCATGCAAACAACCTGTGCGACCCTCAAATAAAAATGTAAACTGCTCCTCATTCACAGAGCCTTGCAGACGAGTTGAAAAACTGTGCATTCCTAAGGTAAAGGAACCTTCTAACCAGAACTGGCTTCTTAAACAGCCACCTGAACACCCTCAGAGAAAGTAACTCTGGCAAAGGAAGGGCAACACCAGTGAACACCTAAAGATGATCACTCTATGCACATGCAGTTTAAGGTGAACAGTTAATCCAAGTCCAAGCAAAACATGTGGCATACATATACAGTACTGTACTGTACATGCAACATGAAGCAAAAACCAAAATAAAGAACACACTTAAGCAAATAAGCAAATAGCTCCCCACAGGACAAGCATAATCTAGGATGGCTAGTAATTAGCTGAAAAACTAAAAAAGGAAGACGAGTATAACAGTGAACATCATAAACATAAGTACCATCTAATATGACTATTAATGTGTTATGGCTGGTGGATCAAGGAAGAAGGCACATGGTCCCGTGGTGATGCACAGGTGGAACTAAAGTTACCTGCTTCATCACCAAGTGGTTTGTGAATCCCAGGACTTCGCTGTCCCATTAATTATGCTTTATTTACCTTACTATTTTTATGTTTTGGTTCACCCACTTTCCTGGTGGCCTTTTCTTGGTTAGGGTGATCTTGGATCCCCTGCTCCTTGCATCTTTTTAAAGGGGGTCAGGTTTTGATCTCTGTTTCCCGGTTGGCTCATATGACTTAGGGGCCTGGCATGGATTGAACTGAGTAGAGCTTGCCAGGTAGCAAAAACCAAGGAGCCCCCAATAGGGGCCCTCCCAGAAACTCAATTATGTAATGCTTAAACAGATACACAAGGTATTCCCACCGAGAGGTCTAACAAATTGAGCTCTTAAAAATTATTTAATTTTTTTTATGTGAAGAATATTAATCAACCTCTTAAGTTTCTGGTCACTGGCAAGTCTTGATAGACCACCATGAGTGTGTGTTTGATAAGTGCAAGTTTTCTTGCAAAATCTGCTATTTCCAGACATTGTGCAAGTAATGCAAAAGTCTTCATTGTTTTTTATACAGCTGATTTGATTACAATGATCAGTTAGTAGGTATTTGTATTTGTTATAATGTCATTAATTACAATCAGTCCTGCAATTTAGGCAAACCCTAAGATTAATTTGCAAAATAATTAGTATATTTTTGGGTTATATTTAATACTAAGAAATCATTATTGTTATTAACAGAACGCACCAAACTGGGAAAACTATGAATACATTTGATATATAATTAATATGCAGTTTTTTTAGCGATACTTAATGCTAAAGGGTATAGACTATTTTATTTTGGATGTCGTAATGTAGTTACCATAACATTTGTTCACCCCCTTTGTCTTAAATAAATACCTGAATATAACTGTATACCACACATTGATCTGAATATGAATTTATTTATATTTTGGTTTACAATTTTTTTATTAATATTATTATTAATATTATAAATAATATTATCATTAATACCATTTGCACATTAATACTGACCGCTGGGAGAGCGAAGAAGGAGATCCCTAGAAGTGCACAACCTGAGGCAATCATCTTGCCTCCCCACGTCTTGGGCACAGCATCCCCATACCCCACTGTGCACAGCGTTATCTGACGAGGACCATACACGTGTTAGTTAAAGTAATAGCAAGTATGTATAGAGAACACTGGTGAAAAATGCTGATGGAGCCTGCATATATGGTTAGATTGCATTTATGAGAAGAGCAATGAGAATACTAGTAATATAGGTATACGTATAGGTATAAATCAAGTAGGGTGTGTTCAAGTAAGGAGGGTTTATAATTACCAAATATAAACAACATATGCAACATAAATATATGTTTAACATGATATTGGTTTAGCCCAAGTTAGACTATAATATTCCAAAAAACATTAAAATACATATCAAATATAAAATGGCGAGTAGTTATCAAAATAAATAATTTTTAGGGCCAATTCTTATGCAGAATTTAGAAAAGTACGTATGGTACTTCTGGTAGTAGAGTCGGGTTCATTCTTAACTCAAAATTGGGAATCCTGGGTACAAATCCCGGCTGAGAAACAAATGGTTGTGCACGTTTCCCATCACCTAATGTTCCTGTCCACCTAGCAATAAATAGGTAACCAGCAGTTAGTAAATTTGTTGTGGGGTTGTATCCTTAAGTGTCAGTAGTTCAACCTTGGGAGAGACCTTAATAATATAAGCCTAACATGTATATATCCACTGGCTGCCTGTCCCCTGGCACAATGAATTTTTATAGTATTATTATTAAAATTGTTGGATTTTTTTTTTTAGGCTCCTATTGGCGGCTCATTGGAGCTTGCTACGCAGGAAACTTCACCCAACTCAATCCATGCTAGGCCTTTGCGAGTCATTATAAGCTTACTGGGGATCAGAGGCTAGAACCTGGCCCCATTCTAAAGAGGTGCAAGGAGCAGGGGAATCCAAGATTACCTTAACCAACAATAAGCCACCAGAAAGGTGGCCAAACAAAAACATACATACAGCAAGGTAAACAAAGCAAAGAAAACAAGATACTGAAGCCCCAAGATGAATGAATCTACAGGTCATGATCCAGTTCTCTCATTAGCAGGACCTGTGCACCACCAGAGTACTACACACCTTCCTCCTCTGTCCCCTAGCCATGAACCTCAATCCTTTTGCGTGGCTTTTACGTTTATGACATTCTCTGTTATGTTTCTTTTCCCACCTGGCACTCATTGGGTCCTGGTTTTTTCAGACAATTGATGACCATCACGTTTTCATCTTGTAGGGGACATTTGTTTGTGCATTTTTCTATATTTTAGTGTTTGCTTCATGATGCAAATACTGTATATTTATGCCAAACTTCTTGCATGGACTCTGATTAACCATCCACTTTGAACTGCACATGCCTAATGATCATTTCTAGGTGTTTGATGGTGGTGTCACTGCCTGGCCAAAGTTACCTGCTTTAGTGGGTTCAGGTGGCTCTCTCGGAGAGGCTGGCTTCCGGTAGGAAAATGTCTTCAACTCCTATGGAAGGCTTTGTGGATGGGGGGGGGAGGGGGAGGCTGGATTTTCATATAAGGGTAGCATAGGTTGTTTGCACGCTCAACTTTACAGCTAGCCACTCATGCCTTTAACAGCCATTTAGGAGATTTAGTTATTTTGAACGTGGAACTAATGAGCGAACTGCTTCACCATCTCATTTTCTATGTTTTAATAATTCATGCTTTTTATTTATCTGAATTTACCTAAAGGCCACTAAGATGCTAGTGCCCTCAACGAGGACAGGAAGCCTGAAGCTTGTCAAAGGTCCCCCCCATTAGATCTGATGATTTTTAGAGTTGGAATTTACAATTTAACAGTTTTGGCATTTCGAAGTTCAGCAGGTAGGCAGTTCCATAAGTTTATAACCTTGTGGGTGAAAAAACATTTCCTGTTCTCAGTCCTACACTGTGGCTTGCTTGCCGAGTTTGAAACCATTGCTTCTTGTGTGTAACATCTAACCTTTTGAAGAAATTGTCTGGATCAACATCCTCCAAACTATTCAATATTTTAAAAGTTTTAATGAGATCCACCCTACCATGCCTGGTTTGCAGTGTTGTTAGCCCTGTGGCCCTCAACCTTTCCTGGTATGAGAATTAGCTTAGCTCTGGAAGGATTTTTGTTGCCCAGTGTTGCACTTTCTCCAGAGCAGTTATGTCCTTCTGAAAATAAGGTCTCCATGCTTGGATACAGTAATCCAAATGACAGCACACTCGAAATTTATACAATTGAATCACTGCCTTCTCTTCCTTAAAGGCAAAGGTATGCTTGATTATTCCAAGGGTTTGGTTAGCTTTTATGACTGCTGCTCCTCCTACCTGCTGTGCAACTTTTAATGAATGGTGGATTTTGACTCAAGTCTTTTTCTTCATCAATCTGCTGCAATGTAATGTTATTAATTTGGAAGGTGTGACGTGGGTTGCTATGTTCCACATGTAAAGTCTTGCATGTGTCGATATTAAAAAGCATTAGACAGTCTTCTGACCATTTGTGGAGTTCATGTAGCTTTGTTTGTTTACCTTGCTGTTTTTATGTTTTGGTTTGCCCACGTTTCTGGTTGCCTTTTTTTCATTAAAGGTGAACTTGGATCCTGTTCCCTGCTCCTTGCACATATTTAGAGGCCAGGTTTAAGCATCTGGTTACCAGTAGGCTTGCAATGACTCGCAAGAGCCTAGTGTAGGCTGAATTAGGTGGTGCTTGCCATGTAGCAAGCACCAAAGAGCCACCAGAAAGAGGTGTTTCATTACATTCAACACTTTATATTTTGATAAACTGGAAACTTGGCAAAATTGTTCTACCTAAATTTTTGGCCAATAGTTTTTATTACTTAAAATATATATATATATATATATATATATATATATATATATATATATATATATAATTTGTTTATTAAGTAGTAAACAAGTAGGATGAACCCCCAGTAGAACTGTGGATGGGGGAGAATTAATAGCATGTAAAGATAGGTTAGAAGCTTCTGCATTATGATTCTGTACTCAGGGAAAGGGGTAAAATATGATCAAGCTTAATTACCAAAATTACATTCCCAAAGTGACTGGTAAAATTGTATAAGGGTTTTATGAACTAAAATGTTCATAAACATATTTAATCATAAATCATATTGAAAATTTACCCTTTTAACACATTTATTTGGCAGAAATCAAGTAGGTTAAGTTCCAAATGAACTGAGGAAGGAGCAGATATTAGCATATAAAGATATTGCAGTACTCTATTAAGATACTGAACAATGGAATTAAAAAATAAAAATCTAAAATTATTTAAAATAAATTAAAGTTTAATTATCACAATAACATATTTTGACAGTTAACTCTTATTCAGCTTATAAAAGATTACCTCTGGCAAAATGATAATGAAAATAAAAAAAAAAAATTATGAAAATCCCACCAAAATTTGGGTAATTTTTTTTTCTAACGGATGAAAATTGACTCTCGTAACTAATTTACTACATATAAAACTCGGGGTAAACTCCAGATGAACTGTTGAAAAAGCGTTTTCATAGGATGCAATGATGGGTTAAGAGATATTATGATACTACACCATATGAACTATAATTTATTTTACAGTTTTATATTAAATCAAGGGTAATCATCGTAATTACATATTTTTGAATGATGATAAATATCCCCAGTTTGCTAACAGTAGGTAGTAACTGAGTGACTGTAACCTATCCACCGCTGCCCAATGGATAAGGGGAGGGGGATTGTGTGCAGGATTAACTTATCAATTGACACTAGCGTTCCACATACGTCAGTTGCTTAATTTAGAAACTGTACTTGTGGTCGGAAAGAAGCCCATTGTTGATGTGATACCTTCTTTATACCTGCTTGATAGGATCCTGGAAGTTCTTCTACTCCCTAAGCCTGACTCGAGGCCAGGCTTGACTTGTGAGCCAAGCTAATGATGTGCATTGAATTTTGTAACTCATCAAGACTGTAACTTGCTTACCTAAATGAATTTAGGGATTCAGTCTCTGAACCCATTATGTGCCTCTGTAACACTTTCCACTCCCCCTATAGAATGGGTATGGTGTGCATAATAAATTAACTAAACTAAAAAAAAAATTGACAAATATTCAGCATCTAGAAGCTGAAAATTGCCTGTGGAATTTGTTTTCTTTTACAAAAATCACTAGAAATTATGGTTCAAAGTTTTTTTTTTTTTTAATTATTGTAAACATACCCTCCTAACTTCTTTGCTGTGGGAGAGAGAGGAACATCAACATAACTTAGGAACCAAGTATATTTCTCTTAAATGATTATTTTTTAGAAGGACTGTATTGGTACTTAGACAGGTAGGCCTTTTATATGGTGTGTCAGGGCTGCCCATCCACCACTCGTGCTTGACAAAACATGCACGTGTAGCGTTGGCGTTTGAACCATTTTGCCAGAAAACAGAGTGCCTTCAACACCTCCATGTTGTTATTATTTGTATTCTCCAGGATGTTATTATGACTTTGCTTCTTTCAGTGTGACATAGTTACAGACACATAATAGGTTTTAGTGCTAAGCAAATTACACCATTAGTGAACTAATTTAGTTAATGAGACTATTAATTAAAATTTTTTGGTTAATTAAGCTTAATTGCAAAATATTATAATCATGTAATTGGTTGAGGAACTGGACCACAAAGTTCTATGGGGTTGGCAATTTAAACTTTTGGTGAACTAGTTAGATTAAATTTGCCAAAAAACTGGAATAAAATTACAAGGGTGGTGATTGAAACACAGTACTGCACTTAGTGTTACATGGCACACAGTCATAATGGAAACCTCAGGTAACCCTCGTGTGTTTAGTAAAACTCCAGGTTGCAATCCCTGTACCATGTCGTGGTCTAGTTGTCTAGTGTGTGTGAACACCCACCGCATAGGTTCGAACCCTCATCACAGCTCCAATGGATTTTTTCAATTGATATATCATGCTAGTGTGATTACTCTCTGTGTCATGATGGTTTGTAAGAGCCTTGTAGGCAGTGCAAGAGTACAGATAATGTGTATACAGTACTATCTACAACAGGCAAACTTTGGATACTTGGCTAGGGTTACCAATTACATGTCATCCTGGATTAAATACAGTACAAAGTCCTTTCTTAAATGTTAGTGATACAGTTGTCTCTAAACTCTTGAATTTTTACATTCAATTACATTGTGACATCAGTAATGCAAAATGTTTTGTTGAAAAAAAAGTTTTCATTTGGTCACATGTACATCAAGTAGTATATAAACATCTGTATGTCTGCTGACCTTGAAGATTAACCCAATGATATGCGAGTGTTCTTGCATAGTGATATGCGAGTGTTCTTGCATAGTACTATGCAAGTATCTTACACACACCTTATGATTTTCCCATAGTCAGGGACAGAAAGTTCATTAGGTTTATCGTGGGCCCCCCCCCCTAGGCAAACTACCTCAGGATACAGCCCACAACAGTTGCCTAACTCCAAGTTTCTATTTACTGCTAGGTGAACCGAGACATCAAGTGAAAGGAAAAGTACCCAATCATTTCTGACCACTCCTAGTCCTTTGACTTAGCCAAGTTACCTCATATATGGTAACATCATATGGATTATGGTAACAATATGGATTATCCACATTTGTTGGGATAGTTACAAGTTACATAGTTAGCAATGTAAGTAATTATCAAAAGAAGGCACCAAACCGGGAAGGCTATGTAGCCCCTAGTTAGCAATGGTTGAATCGAGTAATTATGGGGTCCGTCTAATTACCACAAGCTACACAAGCTTCACAAAGCTTCCTGGCAATACGTTAGTAATGAATAAATATGATAGGTTAGGTTGACCTGACCTAACCTCAGCTCTTTATTTTCGTCTAATTTCTTTAAAAAACGATACTTTTTCAGATTAAAATTATGTTTTTTCGTGTTGTACATTCAGCACCAACATTATAATGAGTAAATATATCATATTTATTCATTACTAACGTATTGCCAGGAAGCTTAGTGAAGCTTGTGTAGCCTGTGGTAGCTTGCGGTAATTCGACGGACCGGTAATTATGTATTTTTAGACATACTAAAACCCGTGTGGGCATAAACTGGGGCACGGGACTCACCACACCCCACCACAGGGCATCCGGGAAGTGTCTGAAGTTCTCGTTGTTGTCTTTCTCGACGAGGTAGACGAGGAATGAGGAGAAGATGAGCCCCAGGAACCCTATGTACAGCGTGGTGATCAGCTCCTGGAGTGAAATGGTTATCTTGTTTTACTGCACTGCAATTATGTTACCATTTTGTGTCTTAATAGTTGAATGATGCCTGGATGCAGCAGTTAACTTTGCACAGACACTATTATGCATATTTTTTTTTAACAGAGTGCGAACTGGGTCTTTCAAGACCTTCCTATAAATTAATTATGTTTACTGGAGCCATAAATTAATTTTGTTTTAATTATTATTAACCTTAATTATACAACAATGTGCTGCTACCCCTATTCTATATGACAGTTTACAGTATGATAAACGTTTGAATAAACATTTCCCGGATGGTTCCGATGCTTGGGTCACATATCGTCATGGCCTCAATGGGGTGTTGATTGATTTTCTTTTGCTCTTGAGAGCGGCGAACGGGTGTCCGGCTCCGGCTTGGCCGAGAAGTATTAGGTATCGGCAGGCCCTGGAGACTCCTGTGTTACCTCTGGAGGAGGCCCTTGCTCCTCCAGTAAGCCATCTCAAAAAAAAAAAAAAAAAAAAAAAAAAAAAAAAAAAAAAAATGGTGTAGTAAGGATGTCTGGAGCATATGCTGCCCTGGGTATTCCCGTCGCCGTGCGCCACAAGGCTGTTTGGCGTTTTGCCGCTTAGCCCCCTTTTTTTTCAGTTTTCTGTTCTATTTCCATATGACCTTGGATCGACAGGGTGTTTGTCTAGTTTCGTCGTGGCCCTAAAGTCAACAAACAACAATTAATTCCTGCAGGCTGACCCATACCACCAGAAGAACTACCTGCACAATAAATACAGCCACCAATACACTACAAATACAGATGTACGTAGTAGTAATTTTCGCCGATTCAAAGTCTTCTCTCTAAGCACTTGAAAACTTCTGCAAAATAGATAACGAGAACCTTACAATAGCAATTGTAAATAACCTGCTAGTTGCAAAGACTATAAAAGGTTCAAAATCTCATTTTGTATGGTTACCATCTCACAAAATAATTCATCATGATAACTCATGCATAGCAACCAAATATTAGCATGCGGCAAAGATGAATTTGAACAAGAGATATAGGTATTTCCCATCTTGATTGTTAAGACTACATATGTATATTGCTCCAAATATAATTCAGGTCTGAAAGGAGAGAAATTAGACTTTCAAAGGACTTTAGCAGACCATATTATCTCTAATGTGCCACCTACTTAAATTATCCACAAACTATTCCATATTCCAAGAAATTCTATTGCTCAAAGGGTTGCTGTATCATATTCCAAGAAATTGTATTGCTTATCAACCCTCAAAGAGTTGCGACTATCTAAGGGTTCCCAATAATCTCCTTAATCGCTAATGACACCTGCAATCATATTCACTAATAACAATAATAGTAATAATAAGTGTTATTAAGTAAAATTACATACATAAGATATAAGAAGATTGTAGGAATCACGGCTAAAGCAAGTACAATGCCTGAAGCCACTAATAGGCAAATCGGTTAGGGCGGTCGAAAGTATCCAGTGAGTTTCCCAGCAGGCCAAATGATGATGAACCTCAAGTGAACAGTGGTGTCCAACACAAGGTCAGGTGGACGCAGATATAACACTGTCCAACAGTGGAAGGTGTCACCACCACTTGGTCCGGGAGACATCTCCCGTCACCACCACTTGGTCCGGGAGACATCTCCCGTCACGCAGGGTGCAGTCGCACCTCCACAGATCTCCAGTATCAGCTCTTGATACTGGTAATGGCTCAAAAGGGCCACCACTTACGAGCTATTCATGCCCGTGCCACCTTTTGGGTGGCTTCTTCTTCATCTTAACACATTCACAAGGGAGACATCTCCCGTCATGCAGGGTGCATTCGCACCTCCACAGATCTCCAGTATCAGCTCTTGATACTGGTAATGGCTTAAAATGGCCACCACTTACGAGCTATTCATGCCCGTGCCACCTTTTGGGTGGCTTCATCTTCATCTTCATCTTCGAAGGTGTCACGGGAGACATCTCCCGTCACGTAGGGTGCAGTCGCACCTCCACAGATTAGCTTGAGCTACCTCATCCCTTTGTGTGTATTTTACCTCAATAAACTTATTTCAATTTCAATTTCAATTTTCAATTTCCACAGATCTCCAGTATCAGCTCTTGATACTGGTAATGGCTCAAAACGGCCACCACTTACGGGCTATTCATGCCCGTGCCACCTTTTTGGGTGGCTTAATCTTCATCAATCATTGAAGGTGTCCAACAGGGTGGTATCCCTTAGCCCTCCTCCTTTTCTGCATAGCTATCATAGAGGTCATTGATAGCTAAGATAGATAGCTCGCCTGTCACTGATATACAGGTGAGCTGAACATCAGGTTCTTGAAGGATGGCAATCTTGCCGGAACCCCAGATACAATTATGGAAGAAATAAGAAAAATACAGGAGCAACTTTAGATCTCATTCTCAATGCATCCAAAAGTGAAATAGTCTCCCCCAAACCAGAAACTACTGAGCAAATAAAAACTATTCTGCTAGACATTCGCATTATTGAGCCAGTCAGCTGTACTCTCCTGGGTGGAACAAGTTAAATGAGGTGGTGGTGGAGGCCAAAACCGTCAGTAGTTTCAAAGCATTATTTGACAAAAAGTACCGGGAAGACGGGACACCACGAGCGTAGCTTTCATCCTGTAACTGCTCTTAGGTATTGTAATTACACACATGTAGCGGCTGTGTCCTTTTTTCGGGGGCTGGAAATGGCCATACTGGCAAAGCACAAACAACTAGGCTCCTGAAGGAAGGTGTAAACAGACCTTACTTAACGGTAGGTTCTATGGAGGCAGTGGAGTATCTTACCCAGCAAGGATACGATGGAATTCTTATGGAAATACCGGAGGGGAACGAGAAGCTGACGAAGGTAATTATCTATAAATACCCTCAGATTCTGGACCCCGAGTTTATACTCGACGACCAACGATTTGTGTGGGCCAAGCGTCACCTTATTAAAGGTGAAGCTAGGAGTCAGGTGGTGGCTCTAGTGAGAGGTGACGTACCCGAAAAAGTGTTCATCACCGGGGCTGGCTACAGGCATGTAGCAAAGTATGTGGAAGAGCCCATAATATGCCTGAAATGCTGCAGATGGGGGCATAAATCCTGGAGATGTCAAAATGATCCACGATGTCGTTTCTGCGGAAAGTCTCACCTCTCTACTGTGTGTAGAAACAGACTGAATCTGGGTGAGAAAATAGTTCCCAGATGCTGCAACTGTGGAGGTGTTCACAATGCGAGCTCGGCTGTGTGTAGCAAGAGGCCGAGTATGGCTGTTCTCCGGCCGGTGAATGTTACAGAGCAAGCAAGAGCTCTTACCCAGACACCGGGAGCACAGCAAAACAGTCTGCCCCAAACAGTGCCAGTGAACCGGACGAATGCGTGGGTAAAGGAGTCACCTTTACTTAGGCAGGCTCCAGCAACAAGCAGCCACGCCACCACTCAGGACTCCGGCAGTGACAGTGTAACGGTGAGTGAAGTGGCTACTGTGGCTCAGAGAGAGGGTCATAATAATATGGTCAAGGAAGTGTGGGCTGAACTTAAAAAAGTTGGTGAGTTCCTCCAAAATCTGGGGCAGAGAATCGAGTCCATCGAGGCTAAATTAAACGTTCAGGAGGTCAAGGTAAATCACAAAACGGTGAAGGATAGTCAGGATATAGTGGTTGAGGACAAAAATGAAATATTGAGTGATGAAATGAAGGAAAGTGAAGTGTGTGTGAATGATGGTAGTCGTAGTGAAAGGAAGAACCCTATAATTACACATAAAATGAAGGAATCATTTGGGCCAATAATGGACATCTCAGGGCTGAAAAAATCTCTTGAGAATCGCAATGTCGCTTTTACTGGTGAACTTGGGAGGAGGTGGGAGATGTTATACAAGGTATGGTTATCATTTAGTGAACTTATTGGGGATGACTTAGGCAATGAATTGATTAATAATGGATCACCCTAGACTGAAAGTGTTGTCATGGAATGTTAATGGTTTGAGAAACAGGGTTACAGATGTTCATTGTTATGTAATGGGAAATGATATTGATGTTGTAGCTCTCCAAGAGACAGGGGATAGGAATGAAGGATTATTGAAATTAAATGGCTATAAAGGGTTTCACCTCTTCGCTGCAAATAACATCAGAGGCACGTCGATTTATGTTAAGAACTCCATACCAGCAGAGTTAGTAGAACCGCCATCAAAAACGCAAGGTATAGAGAGTGTTTGTGTTAAATTATCATTAAGGGAAGGGGAATTTATTGTAGTTAATTTGTATGTATCCAGGAACTGCTTCGACGCTAACTATTTACCTGACTGCATTTATACTAATCCTTCACTGGTCATTGGGGACCTTAATGCTCGGCACACAAGCCTTGGGACAGTAGGTAGTATTAATACTAATGGGGTCAAGTGGTTACAGTTTCTACAAGATCATCCAGATACCTGTCTATTGGGAAACAATGAACCAACTCACATCAGGGGAGGACGGCTTGACTATGCCTGCGTTTTAAACTCTCAGGGGATTATGGGGGAGGCTCGGGTTGTTCGGGAACTACTTAGTGACCACTTTGCCTTGAACGTTGAATTACCACTGGGGAAAAAACAAGTCCACTTTCAAAGGAAAAGGCTAAATATTAAGAAAGATATGAAAAATTATTTTATTCAAAATATGGGAGATTGGTATCAACATTACACGCCGCTCTGCGTTGATAGTTTTTACGAGGACATGGTCGAGAACATAGAGAAATTAGTACAGAGGGAAAATAACGGGGGCAGGGGAAGCAAGACGCACGGACCTAAGAAATTTAAATATTCCAATGATCAGCAAGTCAAGGGATGGGAGAGAATGCTACGGGGTGCGCATAAAGCATGGTTAAAAAATGGAATGAGGGATGAAGAGAAAAATACAATGTTGGAAGTGGCTAGGGAATGCAGTCAGGTGAGGAAGGAGGCGCGGGACAGATACTGGCAAGACTTTGCTCAGGCCATTGGTAATACTAAGAACCTTAAAGACATATGGAGAGCAGTAAATAAAGTCAGGGGTTGTAAGACTAAATTCATTGCTCACTCAGATCCAGGGAAAGTTGCTAATGAGTTAGTAGATAAATGGGCAAGTGCTGCTGGTATGGAGTCCTTACCTGCAGACACGAGAGTCACCATTGAGTCATGGGAAAATATTAGAAATGGAGTAACTTTATGTGCCTTAAATACAAGATCTATAGCATGCACTGAGATAACCCACGATGAGCTACTGGATGCTATAAAAAGTGGCAGCTCCACTGCTCCGGGAAAAGATGGAGTAACGTATGACATACTTAATTATTTAGCCGGTATGAAACCTAATCCCTTACTTGATTTGTTTAATATGAGTTATAGAGAGGGAAAGTTACCAAGAAAATGGAAAGAGGCTGTCATCATTCCTATCCCTAAGTCAAACGGAGGCTACAGACCTGTCTCCTTAATATCCTGCTTTTGTAAAATGATGGAAAGGATTTTGTTAAATAGGCTACTCTACCTTGTAGGTGATAACATGTCCAATAATCTCTTTGGTTTTATCAAAGGCAAAAGTACTGCGGATTGTCTCTTAAAGTGTTTGTCTAATGTGGATGACAATTGTAGAGTTTTTGTTGATCTACAAGGAGCGTTTGATAAAGCCAATGGGGAAGTAATCTTATACGAATTAGCCAATCTGGGAATAACAGGGAGATTGCTACACTGGATAAGGGATTACCTGCAAGGCAGAAAAGGTCAGGTGTATTACCAGGGATACATGTCTGAGGAACGGAGGTTTCAGTTAGGTACCCCACAAGGGGGAGTATTAAGTCCCACCTTATTCAATGTATTAATGAACAGATTAGCATCAGAGATGTATCCTCCAGGGGTCACGACGATCATATATGCTGATGACATTCTTATACAAGGCACTTCTGGGAACAAAATTCAAGATGCTCTTAACATACTTGGTACAACCTGTCACAAGTTAGGCTTAGTTATAAATGCAGATAAAACCAAATACGAGTATAGGAAACGAAGAAATATAACACTTACTCTAAATGGTGTGGAACTGAGCCGTGTACAGAAGTACAAGTATGTATGTTGGATACACATGTGAGAGTAAAAATGCTGAAATAAATCATATCAGCACCTTATGTAAAGCCCGTCTGCATCCTCTAAAAGCACTGGCTTTTTCTGGTAAAGGTGTTGGGGTACCTATCTTGCGGATGTTATACATAAGCACTGTTCGATCCCTGATAGACTACGCAGCACCCGTATTGTCTTACACAGGCCAAGGCAGAATTCAAAAAATAGGGCTGATACAGAACGAGGCTATGAGGATTATTCTTGGATGTCAAAGAAATGCAATGATTGAAATAATGAGAATGGAATTAAATTTACAGAGTGTGTGTGATAGAGTCCGTGACATTAACACTAGAGTATCTATTCGTTTCATGCGGAGAAAAGGAGGGGATAAGCTGTTTGAGAGCGTTCAGACCTGCTTGAGTGACGTACACACTTCCAGGAAACTGAGGGAGACTCGCTATACGAGAGGATTAGCTCATGACCTCAGGGAATACGACGTACTTGACTGCTGTAAACCCTCTCGAAAGTGTAATATGTCTGCTCCCTGGAAAGTACAGAAAATAGACGTCGAAATTGTACCCCTCAAGGTGAAAAAGATTCATCATGAACCGGGACAATTACGGTGTTTGTATGGAAGCATGATATCTCGGTTACCAAGAGGCAACAGTTTACATGTATATTGCGACGGGTCGGTGGCGGAGGATGGCAGGGCAGGGTGTGGTGTCCTAATAAGGGATTATACGGAGTTTGGGACTGTGGACAGGATAATTGAACTCCGGCTTAGTAATTATATATCATCCACACAAGCTGAACTGCAGGCCATTCTGGCGTGTTTGGAGGAAGTACGTCATGACGACAAAAATGTTTTTGTATTTGTCGATAGCCGAGGAGCACTGGAGTCCTTAAACAGTAGAAACCCAGTCTTCATGTCTATAGTGGAGGACTGTAAGAGAAGAATAACTGAGATACAGCTGAAAGGTTATAGTGTGAAATTCATGTGGATTCCATCTCATGTTGGAATAGTGCTCAACGAGGTGGCGGATGACTTGGCCAAACGTGCCACATCAAAACCACAAGTTGACATTGAATGTGAATTCACAATGAGACAAATAAGAAGCAAAATCAGAAATATTCAGGCACAGGCGGGAGTGGAGAGGAGAGAGATAATGTATGCATCAAAGAACATGTAGTTTCTATAAATTACCAGATCATCACCAGAGATATCTTTACCAATGACACCAAAGTAATCCACAGAGACAACAATAGATTAGACACCGAAGAAATATTAATTATCAAACAACTGCAACTAACTTTCAACAGGCAGCTAAGACTCAAGGACATGCCACCATCCACAAGACCAAAGCAGTATATCCAGCGCACACACCGCCACAGCCACCATAACAACGTAAGGCAACTATGTTGCTCTAGCTAACTTGTATCCATTCCACTTCTGCATTTGAAAATGCTGACGGGCTCAAACAAAACGCAGCTCTTAGCGTCAGTCTACAAAAAGCCTATGAAATGAATTTTGGAGAGTTAATTTTTCAACTTCCATTTCAAGTAAAGAACATAATAAATATATACAAGAATTTACCAGGACACCATCTCCTTAGTGGCCTCCATGGGGACAGGAAGCCTGCGGCCTGTCAAACTTACCGACATTGTTCCTGAGGATTTTTTTTTTCAATCAGGATTTTTAGTTGAAGTAGCGCCTCGGAAGTGACAGCTTTAGGTGTAAATGTTTATGATGTTCTTCACTAGATAAGCAAGATGAAAAATGAACTCTCCAAAGCTTATTTTCAGTATTAACTTAAACCATTAGACCTATTTAACTGGATGCGGTTATATAATTAACAACCCCTAGCTGCTAATAGTTTATTATAATATTTGTTGTGAATAGTTCAGTGTTAAATAACTGCAGCAATTGTTTTGAGTTAAACTACATTGCTCTATTATACCTAAAAATCTTTTTCTAACTGTAATTTATAAAAAGTCGCTCTTGTTTACCATGACCATATACATATGTAAACATATCAGTTACCCCCAGGGGTAAAATATCAGTTACTCCCAGGCGTAAACAGATCAGATACCCCAGGCGTAAACATATCAGTTACCCCCAGGGGTAAAATATCAGTTACTCCCAGGCGTAAACAGATCAGATACCCCAGGCGTAAACATATCAGTTACCCCCAGGGGTAAATATATCAGTTACCCCCAGGCGTAAACATATCAGTTACCCCCAGGGGTAAATATATCAGTTACCCCCAGGCGTAAACATATCAGTTACCCCCAGGCGTAAACATATCAGTTACCCCCAGGCGTAAACATATAAGTTACCCCCAGGGGTAAACAGATCAGATACCCCAGGCGTAAACATATAAGTTACCCCCAGGCGTAAACATATCAGTTACCCCCAGGGGTAAACAGATCAGATACCCCAGGCGTAAACATATAAGTTACCCCCAGGGGTAAACATATCAGTTACCCCCAGGCGTAAACATATCAGTTACCCCACGCGTAAACATATCAGTTACCCCCAGGTGTAAACATATCAGTTACCCCCAGGCGTAAACATATCAGTTACCCCCAGGCGTAAACATATCAGTTACCCCCAGGCGTAAACATATAAGTTACCCCCAGGGGTAAACATATCAGTTACCCCCAGGCGTAAACATATCAGTTACCCCCAGGCGTAAACATATCAGTTACCCCAGCGTAAACATATCAGTTACCCCAGCGTAAACATATCAGTAAGGGAGACGTCTGGGAATCAGCAGGTCGCCAGTTCAAGGCCCTCCAGTCTCAAAATGATTTTCATATCAATTACCGTATAGAAATGACACGGATGGTAATACAGTGTATTATACTATATGTATAAATAAAGAGGAGGATATTTGTAGCGGTTGTACAGATCATTTTTAAATGGCTTATCCTGTACACATTACTTCAAATTTAAGAAAACAAATTTTAATAATTTTCTGCAAAAAACACATGCAGTGTTGATTTGTGAATAATAAATTTTACGTTAAAAGTACACATGCTTTTTTGTAATCCTCAATATTTTATATTATCAATAAGAATATGTTAATGTTATATCTTAGGTAAATTAGCATATTCCGTAAAAAGACCTCCGTATCCTCATCTGCGTGCTTATCGGTAAATAATATCTGCCCAAAATTAGTTTGATTGCTGAAACGACGATGAATACAGGCTAGCTCAGTGAGTACTCAAAACATCTACAAGTTAAAACTCTCGTATCTCCTAACACTATAGGCTAACTCTTAAAGTTCACGAAACAAATTCCCTCGAGTGAGCTCTCTCGTCAAGCCTACTCACTGACATATATGTAGTTCAGCTGCGAATAAGGAAAGAAGCCCCAACTCACCTGTCTGTGGGCATACACCACGGAGCCTAGAAGTTTCCAGGTGCCTCCTCGTCTGTCCATGCGCACCATTCTCAAGATCTGAAAAAATCGTAGGCCCCGGACCGCGGAGACCACCTGGCCGCCGGAGCCATTGGCCAGGACCACCACCGACGCCACGATGGTGACAATGTCTGCGGGATGAGGGCAGGGTTAAGAGGGCCCGCCATAATGTGCTATAACGTCAGGCAAACATCTCTGGACCTCTAAAGCCTTCTCTCCTCTGGCAGATATGGTGACCACCGTGCCGTGGGCGGTGCTCACTGCGTCTGCTACTGAGGGAAAAGCATGAGGGCCTTCCTACTTCGAGGACAGGTAGCTCATTCCGGCCCGGGACGGTAAGTCAGTGTGGGTTACATTAGAAAATCGTTCATACCAACACGTTCTGCTGTCTGATAACTAGTGCAACTCAGTTTTGTGGTTAACTTGACCTGAGGGAGTGAAAAGAACCAGCGTGTGCTGATTTTAATATAGAAAATGACATTGAGAAAGTCGATCACTGCAACATTGACTATATCATCTCTATCACAGCCTAATGCTGGTCGTTGTGGCCTGCATCCTGTTGTATTAAACTGACAATCTTCTCCCTGATGTTGCTACGAAAGATTTAAAGCCTTTAATTTTGTCACACACACACACGTCCCTGACTTGTATACCATGCAAGGTGATGGAGAAGATCGTGAGAAAAAAACTAGTAACACATCTGGAGAGAAGGGACTTCGTGACAACCCATCAACATGGGTTCAGGGAGGGTAAATCTTACCTTACAGGCTTAATAGAATTCTACGACCAGGTGACAAAGATTAAGCAAGAAAGAGAAGGCTGGGCGGACTGCATATTTTTGGATTGTCCGAAAGCCTTTGATACAGTACCTCATAAAAGACTAGTAAATGAGCTGGAGAGACAGGCAGGTGTAGCTGGTAAGGTGCTCCAGTGTATAAGGGAGTACCTAAGCAATAGAAAGCAGAGAGTTGGGGTGAGGCCTCAGATTGGCATGAAGTCACCAGTAGAGTCCCACAGGGCTCTGTACTCGGTCTTATCCTCTTTCTGATATACGTAAATGATCTCCCGGAGGGCATAGACTCATTCCTCCTCAATGTTTGCTGACAATGCCAAAATTATGAGAAGGATTAAGACAGAGGAGGACTGCTTGAGGCTTCAAGAAGACCTAAACAAACTGAAGGAATGGTGGAACAAATGGATGTTAGAGTTTAACCCAAGCAAATGTAATGTAATGAAGATAGGTGTAGGGAGCAGGAGACCAGATACAAGGTATCATTTGAGAGATGAAATACTTCAAAAGTCAGAGAGAGAGAGAGAGAAAGACCTGGGGGTTGATATCATGCCAGAATTGTCCCCTGAAACCCATATCAAGAGGATAACATCAGCAGAATATGCCAGGTTGGCCAATATAAGAACGGCCTTTAGAAACTTGTGTAAGGAATCATTCAGAACTTTGTATACCACATATGTCAGACCAATCCTGGAGTATGCAGCTCCAGCATGGAGTCCATATCTAGTCAAGCATAAGACTAAACTGGAAAAGGTTCAAAGGTTTGCCACCTGACTAGTACCCGAGCTGAAAGGTATGAGCTATGAAGAGAGACTACGGGAATTAAACCTCACGTCGCTGAAGACAGAAGAGTTAGGGGGACATGATCACTACATACAAGATTCTCATAGGAATTGATAGGTTATATTTACAAGACATTGTAAATATAACCGGGGAATTGACTGGAAGTAAATATAACTGTCAATTCCCCGGGGTCCGGGGAATTGACAGGCTATTTAACACAAGGGGCACACGCACAAGGGGACACAGGTGGAAACTGAGTGCCCAAATGAGCCACATAGATATTAGAAAGAACTTTTTCAGTGTCAGAATGGTTGACAAATGGAATGCATTAGGAAGTGATGTGGTGGAGGCTGACTCCATACACAGTTTCAAGTGTAGATATGATAGAGCCCAATAGGCTCAGGAACCTGTATACCTGTTGATTGACGGTTGAGAGGCGGGACCCAAGAGCCAGAGCTCAACCCCGCAAGCACAAATAGGTGAGTACACACACATTGGGGCCTAATAGCTAAGTGGACAGCGCTCTGGACTCGTAATCCTAGGGTCCGGGTTCGATCCCCAGTGATGGGAGAAACAAAATGGGCAGAGTTTATTTCACCCTGATGCACCTGTTCACCTAGCAGTAAACAGGTAGGTGGTAGTTAGATAGCTGTTACGGGCTGCTTCCTAGGTGTGTGTGTGTGTGTGAGTGAGTGAGTAAGTAAGTGAGTGAGTGAGTGAGTGAGTGAGTGAGTGAGTGAGTGAGTGAGTGAGTGAGTGAGTGAGTGAGAGTGAGAGAGTGAGAGAGAGAGAGGGGGGGGGGGAATGAGTTAGTAGTTAGTAACAGTTGATTGATTGACGGTTGAGAGGCGAATGAGCAGAGCTCAACCCCCGCAAGCACAACTAGATGAACACACACTATACAACTAGGTGAGTACACACACACACACACACACACACACACACACACACACACACACACACACACACACACACACACACACACCAACCACAGTATACACAAACACATTCACTGACTTATTCTGTAGAAAATGTTAATAGAAGAGGGGGGGAAATATTAAAACTCCGAATATAAAGAAATGGTACACAAATAGAAGACGGAAAGAGTAGCAAAGAAAAAAACTGAAATGAGCAGAGGTGGGAGAGAAGGGAGAGGGAGAGAAGGGAGAGAGAGATGATGGAGAAAGCGAGAAAAATAACGATAAAGAATTGGTAACATCTATTGGTAACACCAGCAACAACATAGCCAGAGAATGTACCGAAACAATAAAAAAAATTATCTCCCCAAAAATGAACGAAGGAAATGGGAAATGTATCAAAGATATGAGGGTGTGTTATGACAACAAACATATTTGGTTCCCATTTGTCGGGGCCTAGAAGCTTGACAGGTTTAAGGAGTCCCCCCTCCCTCCCCCTTACGCCACCGTGTGACCCTTGCCAGGCTGACCGCGGCCTTCCCCGGCGCTGCCCGGGCTCTCCACAGAAGGAACATCAGCATCACTCTTACATCAGCATTTCGTGACTTTAATTTTTTTAATTTTGCCCCGAGGGGCGAGTTTATTGGGCAGCGCCACTCATCTTGTGACTGGACATACCGCCATAGCAGCAGGTACAACACTCCCCAATAGGAAGAAAACCCGTTGGGTTGTTCATCCTGTCACTTGTACCCAGACACAGCTGGGACTTGCTTAACTGTCTCAAGTGAACAGCTCCTCAAACAAGAAGATTAACATCTATCAACCCTTAAAAGCTTAAGTTATCTTGCTTAAGTTATATCAATATTTGACAAATAGTGTTTTCCTAATTCAAACATTGTGGGGTTTATTATTCTACACATACTTCTGATGTCTCTCAGGTGTTCACATTCACGTAGATAGTGGTCTAGGCGGTGTCCGTCAGTCTCATTACAGATTCTGCAACTTCGCTGATCAACAGTTGCTTCCATTCCGTATCTCCATGGATATTTGTATCCAAAACGGATTCTTGCTATTACTGATTCTCTCCCGCGTCCACCTCCTCTTCGGCCATAATGATTGAGATTGCCAGCTGCACCCATGTTGTACCATCGTACAGATTCACTGGTTTGTGCTTCTATCTTCCTTTCCTCAGTTACCTTGTCACGGTGATGTTGCCTGACAATACCTCTAATTTGTAGTAGTCTTGGGTATGAAGTATTCAATATGGTCTCCTTCAGCGCCTTCAGCAGCCAGCACATCTGCTCGTTCATTCCCACATATTCCAACATGGGAGGGGATCCACAGAAACTTGATGACTCTTCCCTGATTGGTAAGTACTCTCACAGCTCTCTTAATTTCAGCGACTATTGCAAGATTTTCTGCCCGATTTTTACTTAGGCTTTGAAGTGCTGGTTTTGAATCAGTGCAAATCACTGCACCATTAGTGTTCCGTTCAAGAAACCTTAACGCCATAACAGTGGCAGTTAGCTCTGCTTGCGTTGAAGAGGCATAGTTCTCAATACGCGCTTTTTCTTAATTTCTGCGTTAGAAAGCATTATCCTTAATTACCGTGTATGCTGCACCAGCCCTGCCATTGACAGGATTAGATGACCCGTCAGTGTAGATTTGATCTAGTTCATCTCCGGCTTCTTTATAAATTTCCTCGAGATCTCTTCAGATAATACGAACAACGGAGGCACCGAACACCCTCCCCCCACCACCACCACACACTCGTTATACGACAAAGAGTGTTGGGAAGACGGGACACCACGAGTGTAGCACTCATCCTATAACTACACTTAGGAGGTAATTACTAAAACCGTCTGCCACCCAACTAACTCACACACATGGCGCCTATCTAACGGTCCTAGCTAGCACCTAACCCAGAGCCAGGAATCCCGACAGAAGGTAAATCGGCCCAGTCTCCCTTATGTCATCTTACTGACCGATGACTTACTTACTGACCGTAAGTAACGATTACTTACTGACCATCATTGCTTGCTGTTATATCCGGTATTTGTTGATGATGACTCGTCAGAGGATGCAGTACTAAGTTTAGTCAAATATATACTGATCACGCGTGCAAACGGTTGAATTAAAATTTCCGTCAGTATCCTGAGTGATGATACAGCAATTAGCAATGACCGTTCACTGTGTTTAAGTGATTTCAGACTGACTATTCTAGATGGACTGTTAATCCATCTGATGATCTGATAACAGCTGATGATCTAATTAGATAATGGAGCGGAATCTCTTATTTTAAGTGTCTTTAATCGTAGGTCGAGCAGAGATCCATCTCGTTTTATCAGAGTATTAAAGTATAATAAATGCAGAACTCTATAGAGTGTGTGTGTGTGTGTGTGTGTGTGTGTGTGTGTGTGTGTGTGTGTGTGTGTGTGTGTGTGTGTGTGTGTGTGTGTGTGTGTGCGCGCGCGCGCGCAGCTTTGATAATAAATATGTCATTGGGCTTAGTTTAACAGCTTGAAACAGCGTTAACCGCTATATTATCCGAGCTAGTTATAATAATAATAATTTGATCTAAGACTAAGTGGCCGGGCTACCCGGCGGTGACCCGGGGTAACCAGTCTCTACCACACACCCCCATTCCACCCCTCTTCC